GTCCACATCCTTTCTATAGTGGTGGGGCCCAAAACTGAACATAGTGCTCCAGATGTGGCCTCACCAGTGCTGAATAGAGAGGAATAATCACTTCCACCTGCTGGCAACACTCCTCCTAATGTAGCCCAGTATACCATTAGCCTTCTTGTCAACAAGGGCACACTCTTGGCTCCATATTCATTTTATTGTCCACTGTAACTCCCAAGTCCTTTTCTGCAGAGCTGCGGCCCAGCCAGTTAGCCCCCAGCCTGTACTGCTGCATGGGGTTGTTCGGTCCTAAGTGAGGACTTTGTACTTGTCCTTTCTGAGCCTCTGAGATTCCTTTTGGCCCAATCCTCCAATTTTGTCTAGGTAACTCTGAATCCCAGCCCTACTCACCATTGTATCTACTATTTCCCCCAGCCTGGTGTCATCTGAAGACTTGCTGAGGGTTCACTGTATGCCCTCTTCCAGGTCATTTGTGAAGATATTGAACAAAACTGACGCCAGCACTGACCCCTGGGGCACTCCACTTGATACTGGCTGCCAACTAGAGATTGAGCCATTGATTACTACCCTCTGATCTTGATGCTCCAGACAGTTTTCTATACATTTTACAGTCCATTTGTCCAGCTCATACTACTTTAGCTTGCCTGCGAGGATGTTGTGGGAGACAGTACCTAAAGCCTTGCAAAAATCAAGGTATACCACTTCCATTTGCCTTCCCACATCCACAGAGCCAGTCATCTCATCATAGAAGGCACTCAGTTTATTCAGGGACTGAGGTGAGGCTGACTGGTCTGTAGTTCCCTGGATCCTCCTTCTTCCCTTTCTTAAAGGTAGGCTGAAAGGGAGTCTGTTTTCTCATATTTTATGTGTGGTTGGGCTTAATCCAGGGTTACATGGATGATATTCTGTTGCTTATATAATGCATGAAATTGCACAAGTCTGTCTAGTGGTTCCTTTTGGCTTTAAATTGGCATATCAGGTTTGGCTGGTGACCATTGTATGTATATACAAAGGCGTAACAGTATCTCTGTGCCCTGGGTAGTGCGCAGGGTAGTGCTGGCAGCTGTGTTGCTGGATATGGTGGCGTGGCCTGCTGCCAGCTGCAGCAGTGGCTATTTTTGCTCCCTCCCTACCAAATGTGGTACCCAGGACTGCTGTCCTGTTTACTCCACATAGTTATGCTACTTTATATCTATGCTCATTCATAGTCCTGTTACTTCATTTTAATAAGTGACCCGTGTTATTTTTTTCTTATTGATATGTAAAGGTCCTAAGATGAAGAATTTGAATATTTTTTATTAAGAACATCAAAAATGGTTCTGGGAGGGTAGCAACATACTTTAAACCAACTATTGAGATTCCCAGAAGCTGACCAATCAATTTTAGAGCAGGTGGGAAATAGTTTTTCCATCCCAAAATAAATGTAAAGGCAACCAAAATATTCTATTCTCAAATTGAGACGGAGTCAAAATCTCAACATTTTTTGTGAATGGAAAATCAAAGCAAACTTGCATATTGGGTCAAGTCAACATTCCATGTTAATGATTTTAAAATGTTTACTTTAAATCTTAGCCTTTCCGTCTTTTATAATTTATATTTTAACTATAATTTATCCAGTCATTTTTGCCTGAAAAAAATATTTTTTTTCAATTTTGAATGTATCAAAATAGAACCTTCTTGTTATTGTCGCGCCCAGATGCTGGTGCACCCTTGACCTGCAAGCCTGGGTCGGTACGACCGGCTTGGCGTGAGGGGGGATTTATGACCGGACAGGCGGGTGTTAATGGTGAGCAGGAGTCAGATAGTCAGATGGTTTAAAGTGCATTGGTTACACAGAAAGTTTATTTTACTTACGCTACTGATAGCTTGCAGCGTAGGCAGAAGCAGTTGAT